TCAAAGTGAGCACACCCATGCCATTGTCACCCAGATGGAGATGCCTCCGGGAGTTATCCCTTTACCCTCAAAGCGACGACTCCCTTGACTTCTAAAGGCGCAGATCAGTGTTGCCCATTTTCGAAGTATTTATTTATTTAATTTTTATAAAAAGATTGGGTCTCACTCTGTCACCCAGGCTGCAGCACAGATCATGTAGCTCACTGCGAGCCTTGAACTCCTGGGCACAAGCCATCCTCCTGCCTTGGCCTCCAGAGCAGCTGGGAATCAGAATGGCTGGGACTCCAGGGGTGCACCATTTATTTTTTAACTTTACATACCAGGAATTATACACCGTGTTCTATTCTGTGTCTGGCTTCTTTGGTTTAGCATGAAGTTTGTAAAAGTCATCCATACATTTGTGTGTAGCTCCAGACTGTCCATTCTCATTGCTGCATAAAGCTCCATGCTCTTCAGTGTATTTATCCATTATGATATTTGGGGAGTTTCCAACTTTTAGCTAGTGTGCATAGTGCTGCACGTTCTAGGGCATATATCCTCAGTTCTTCCGGACGTATACCCAGGAGTGACATTGTTGTTCTTCCTTCCTTCCTTCCTTTTTCTTTCTTCCTTGCTTCCTTTTCCTTCCTTTCTTAACTTACTTTCTGTTCCTTTTTTCCTTCCTTTCTCTTTTTCTTTTCTTCCCCCCCTCCTCTCTCTCTCTCCTCTCTCTCTCTCTCTCTCTCTCCCCATCTCTCCCTCCCTCCTTTCCTCCCTCCCTCCCTCCCTCCCTTCCTCTTGTAGAGGCAGGATCTCACTACATTGCCCAAGCTGCTCTCAAACTCCTGGGCTCCAGTGGTCCTCCTGCCTCTGCCCCCAAAACACTAGGATTACAGATGCGAGCCACTGCACCCAGCCAATGGTTTCCAAAGAGGTCGTACTAGATTCCACTCTGGTAAAAAGCAAGAGTCAGAAGTGGTTTCAGATCCAGGTCAGTGACCTTGGGAAAGTTTTTAAGTCTCCCTCAGCCTCAGTGTTTGCATCTGTTCCACGGGGCTGCTGTAGAGACTCAGCGGAAGCTTTACCCGGGCAGGGACACCATCAATGAGATTCACTCTTTCATGAAAAACTCTGGGGTCTTCAGAAATCTCTGCAGGTAATGCTCCCGCTCTAAAACGGAACAATCTTCTCACAGAGGTCCATCAAACAAGTTATCACTTCAGATAGCACAGCCCTCTCATATGACTGGCTCTTTCCATCTGAACACGTGGGTTTCCTTCTTGTTTCATATTAGCTGCAGCTCCCCTTTGAGCTGTGAAACAATGTCAAATACAAAAATCATTGCTATTTGGTGAGTGCCTTATGAGCCCCTCCTTCTCCCTGAATCCCACACGGTTCCATCTTCTTGCAACTCCACTCATTCTTGGGTTAATCATTTCATCCATATCTTGGCAAGTTAGAAAAAGTTGAAAGTGCTGTGGGGCAATGTGTAAAAGCTGGTGCATTGGTACAGAGTTAGGGACTTTATGTAAAGACATATAATCTTTCCAAAGTGTTTCAAAAGAACCTGAATACTGACGTGTGTGTGGAGGGGGGAATGGGGATTAACTAGGATTCAACTACCTAAGACTTGAAAAAATATTTGTCTTTTTCATCTTTTCCCTTTCCTCTCCATTTGGACTTTCTACCTATACAAGAGCCATGAAAATTTGATGATTTCTTGGTATGTTCACTTTGCAAGACAGTTTGGTGATGTCTTAGAAGCTTGAAGATATGAATACACTGCGGACCCAGAAATTTCCACACCTAAGGCTATTCCTATAGACATGCATTCTTATCTGCACCAAAGATATTTGAGGCAGTAATGTTTAATAGCCCCAACTGGGGAAAAAAAAAAAAAAAAAAAAAAAAAAAAAAAAAAACGGATACCTATCGACAAGATGATGCATACACAAATTGTGGCATATTCTGTCAATGAAATACTATACAGCAGTGAAAATGAATGAAACACAGCCACATGTGACAACAGATGAATTTTTCTAAAATTCAAACCAGATTAAGCTGTATGAATTTTTTTTTTTTTTTTTTTTAAAGACAGAGTCTCACTCTGTTGCCCAGGCTGGAGGGCAGTCGTGCAATCTTGACTTACGGCAACCTCAGACTCCTGCACGCAAGGGATCCTCCCATCTCAGCTTCCCAAGTAGCTTGGACTACAGGTTCACATCACCATGCCTGGTTAATTTTTGTTTTAAAAATGTTTTTGGAGCAGCAGGGTCTTGCTATATTGCCCAGGCTTGTCTCAAACTCCTGGCCTCAAGCAATCCTCATGCCTCCACCTCCCAAAGTGGTGGGATTATAGGCGTAGCCGCCGTACCCTGCCAGATGAATCTTAAAGACACAATGCTGAACCAAAGAAACAAACTGCGGAATACACACTATATGATTATTCCATTTATATAAACGCCTAAAAGAAGCAAAAAGCAAAATTGTATTATTTAGGAGTGCATAATAAGGTAGTCAAACTGTATTTTTAAAAAGCAAGATATGAATACCATAAAGTCAGGTAGTGATTATTGCTGAGATCAGAGGCTCTGGAAGCTGTGGCAGAAGGGGGCTCTGCAGAGGTGGTGTTCCACTTCTAGCTCTAGAGTTGGTTTCATGAGTGTTCATTTCAGATCAATTTCTTAACCCTGTACCTTATGTTTTATGCAATTTTTTCCTGTGTGCTTATTGAATTTCACCACATAAAAAAGCAGAATGGGAACCAATCAGAGTGGTTCTCGAGAGACATGAGTACCAAGCAAACGATACCACCCAGAATCCCTATCCAGCCAACTAGGACCTGTTTAATTATTTCCTTCTGGGAGTTCAGACTTGTCGGCTCTGGGGTCTCCAGGATAGAATAAACCCTTCATTCCGACTTGCAGGACTCCCTGTGATTTGAAACGTTCGCAGAAGTAACCCCAAATCACTCTCTTCGCTTTCAAAAATGGTCGTTTGCAAAACAGCAAATTTGTTTAGAGACTGAGGAATCGCACCTTTAGACACAAATCCCCTCTTTTTTCTGTCTTTTAAGTTTTTTCCTTCCTCCAATCTGCCTTCTCCTTGCAAGATGCTGCGGAGCGTCCGTTTGTCTGCAACCGAAATGGAACCGGGTGGAAAACAGGCTTTCCTCCCAAGGGAGGAGGAATCAGCCCCAACTCCCCGCTCCCTGCCTCCCGACTGTGCGGCGCTCCCCTGTCTCCCCCACAAACTCTGCGGAGCCCGGTCCCCCCCCGCACCTCCACGATTGGTCTCGGGCCCTCATGTGTCGAACCTCTGGGTGGGTTCTTCTGCAGGCAAATTCATCAATTGCTCCCCTTTTCCGCTTGCCGGCCAGTGATTGAGACCTTTGCGCCCATTTTTTCCCCCTTTACTTTCTTTTACCCGCAACCCTCCACACCAGTCTTATTTTAGCAAAACCTAGAGAAGGAGGAGGTGGAGGGATTTGGAGGGTGGAGGGGCATTGCAGCATCCAGGGGCAGCTATTGAGTGGCTAAGCGGAGGGCGGCATACCTCTCTCTCTCTCTTTCCCCTCTGTGGGGAATTTTCAGGATTTCACTGCTGCAATTTAACCCCAAGACGAGGCACCATTGAGCGAAACGCTGTGCGCACACACACACTCACACTTCCTCCGGGAGCAGAAGAGGCAGCCGCTGGTGATTCAGGAAGAAAAAAAAAAATTTTTTTTCTTTTTCTTTTTCTTTT